AGTTATGCAGGACAAGGGCCCAAAGCTGAGAGCGTTTCAGGGAGGATTTTGTTTTAGAACTTTTTTGAGGTCATTTGAAGGAAGGGTCTGCTTTGAAATAGAACATTTTGTTACGAAAAAGTGCTAAGTTATAAATATAACCCTTACCAGTAGTAGGATGTTGTTGAATTAAGTGCTTTTAGCACTTCATTTTTTTTTTTATGTATCATCCATGTAATTTAAAAAAAATCAGCCTGGTTACACCAGTATTTTCTCAATTTGATTGCGTCAATGTTCCTTCTGCTCTTATGAGTAAGAGATTTGGTAAATCCAACTTGTGGATGGTATCTAATTGCTGACATAGTACTACAGATGTGTTCTAAATTGCTCACTGAAGTTGCGTGGCTTCCTTGGGGCTTAAACTGTGCATGTAATGTCCACAGCTTTTCCTTTGAGATGGATGTAAACATTAGATTTCAAATGCTGGAAAACATCATAGGTTTGGGGAGCGTTTTGGCTGTCTTCTGAAGGAAATGACCTGGTGGAGTACTCTCACCTTCTCACTCTGTATGGGTTTTTTGTTTGTTTGTTTGTTTTTTTAATTTACTGAATATAGTGTAAGCTTGTGTCCCCACACCCTGGGTGGGGCAGGTCCTTGGGAAGAGTCAGAAGGCGAATGTAGTAGAAAGGGTAAAAATTCTCAAAGTACAACTGAGGAAGCACCAGCCACGGCTGTGAGAAGTGCTGGGTTCCTTGGGTCCGCTCTGGTTTTCCCCGGAAGCCTTTTTTTCCCATTTTAAGTCAAACAATTAGTCTGTTAACCTTTTGTCACAGACAAAGCACTTGACTTGTGGCCTCTGAGAGCGTAAGAGGTTAAGTAATTAAATTCTATAAGGGAGTAAAAGAGAACCATGACTAGACTCACTAGTCTGTCTAGTTGAGCTCTCCAACAGCTAAAATTAAGTAATTTAAGTTGATTCCTGGTTTCACTTGATATCAGGTGCTCAAAGCTGCTTCACACGGGTTATTTTCAGAGGTGGTAGATTTATTTCAGGTATGATTTGGTTGTGCGGAGGGGTAGTTTCAGGGGGAGCGCTGGCCTGGCTGACTCCGACAAGATACCAGGCCGGGCCAGATTGGCTAATAACCAGGCTTGTTCTTGGGTGCCTGCCAAAAACCTGGCCCTAAATATTGTAATAGCATGCTAATTATGAATGCTAAACTCCAGATGTACTTAATGTATTACAGGTGAAGTACTGGCCTTGTAGCTGTTGGGTGGTGCTGTGCGCAATGTGGCTGTTCTGAGTAAAAATCGCTCTAATGTGGTGGGCCTGTGAGTTTGTGCTGATGCAAAGAGAAGCAGCGTTTGTGGTTTTGCATCAAATATGTGAACTTACCCGTGCTGTGGTAGCAGTGCAGCTGTAAGTGCCTTTGAGGTTGTGTTTTGATGATGTCAAACAAACTTATCTCTCATTTGAGAAGCCGGTGAATGGGGGGCTCGGGGTGTCTGGTGGCGTCTGCGACATTTAAGGGTCCGAAGCAACGTGCCGGAATTAATCCTGAAGTCTTTAAGTGTGTAGCTGCCGTGGCAGGTCTTGAGTGCAAACGATGAGTCTTCTAATTGCAACTGACTTTTATCCATGTGATGGATAAAAGGCGATATTTTTGTAATGTTTTATTAATAAAATGGGACGGATTTGTCAGGAGTGCCCTTGTGGAAATAATGTGCCTGTTACAGCTTTAAATTTGTATGTGTCGGTATAATTTCAGCACGACTGGTTACTTAGATATCTGAAATGACCGTGTGGCATTAGTTTCCAGATGATTCAGTCCGTTCCTATCTTGTTTACAGGCCACGCACAGGTAGGAAAGGGTAAATCAGAATGGGTTTTAAGTTCATATTTCCCTCTTTCACTCTGAAGTTGACCACCTAACTTGTTCCCAAATAATTATTTTTCCAAATGGGAATTTTCTTCTCTTTCTGCATAGTGTCAAGTCTTTGTCTGTGTCGTGGTTTAGGAGCTGGCTTCGTGCGTGTTGTGCCTTGGCACCGGGAGTTGCCGGGCTGCCGGGCGAGCTGTGCGATCCAGGCTCCCTGGCAGCTGTTATCTTCTAAACTAGAGTTACAGCAGCCACAAATCTGTTGTGGGGTTGGTCCGTAGCTGTTTAGCAATACTTAAAAGTGACTTAGACATGCTCTTTCTGCCTTCCTTGGAAAAACCACTTGTGGTGTTGCATCTTTTGAAATGGATTCACACGTGAATGACTTCTCCATCTGCAGACAACGGCGTATTTTGTTAGTCGGGTTAGTCTGCACTGAAACTGCAGAGGCGTGATTTGATCCTGTGTATGTTTTAGGCGCATAAATGGGAAGGTTTCCTTAAGCAGCAAGAAATCCTCATGACTGGATTATATACAGTTTGCCAGTGGGTAATTTAAATCAAATGATGCAAGGGACAAAATATTTGTGATGATTTATTTATAGTTAAAAGCTTCCATATGACACTACACACCCCTTTTGACATAAACTAATCAAGGAGCACAACAAACATCAGTTGTTTTAATGCATCTGAAACTGCTTCTAGTAATTATTGCTGCCACAACAATATTTGGATTTAAGGCTGGCTTTTTCTTCCTTTTAAGATTTCTTTCATGATCATATATCCCTGGAAATCTAATTGATGTTGTTGGTTAATAGCAAGCAACATTGGTTGCTCATGGGAACCCTATGGATATTCTTAAGCATGGAGCCCTGCAACATTTACCTTTTGCATCAAGGGGGTGGGGGCAGAATAGAAGAGCTTTGTAGTTTTTCTATTACCGGTGTGAAAGTGGCTTCCCCAAAACAATGGCGAGATTTCAGGGGTTCGTGACCTCTTGCAATTAAAAAATTTCAGATGGCTTGTGAGAGGCAGACTGATGGGGCGAAGCGGGGGGGGGGGAAGCAGCAAGGCAGCCCTTGCCATGGAGGGAACAAGCACTCCTGTTACAGCTGAAGTCATTACTCATTTTTGGTGGGAGATCTATCTAGCTGCTTTTTTTTTTGTCTGAGAGATGCTCTGGGGATTAAAATAAGGGAGCTTAAAATTCAAGCAGCTCTGGAAGAGAGGTCTTGCATGATTTAGGTCTTGGTTGTAGTTGCCTTTTCTTCCCCAGGTTGGGTCAACTCCAAGGACTTGGGCTCATCCGGTGTCAATCTCGTGTCTGATGGGACAGGTTGAAGCGCTTTGTGTAGTGTGAGCATTGGCAGGGCAGCTCTTCTCTCTTGGTAGCTGGTTTTCACTAAAATGTAGAAGAGTAATGTTTCTGAGACCTCTGTCCTGTGTCAAATAAGGTTCAAATTGGTCGATGACTTCAGATACCCTTGGTGGTGAGGGGGAGACCCGAGGAGGACATAGACCGACCCACCGTGCAGTGGCTGGAGCCAGCAAGCCTGGACAGCTGGTGTTTTCACTGGAGGTGGCGAGTGTGTGAGGGCTGGTGTGTTACTTGCTGTTGATTCTTTTTTGTTTTGTTTCGTTTTCCATCTTTATATTCCGTATATGTTTTGCTTTCAATTTATATTTAAATGTTTGAATGTGTATTTACGTATTCTGGTGCCACAGTCTCTCTCATATGCTATATGTGATGGGGTATGGCCTTCTGCACACCTGAATCATTCTTTATAATTTATTTTCTCTAGGGAGACTTGTGCTGAAACAGTTATTTTTAGGAACATAAAGAGAATTCAGGGGTTTTGCTTTAAAAAAAAATATAGAAGGTTTATTTGCTAATATTGACTCTCAGTTGGTAAATGTTTCCCCTTGCAAGAGTTATTATTTCTAGCATTTGTGTTGTTTAGCCTGTCTGCAGTCCATAAATTAGATTATTTTGGCTGTTGTACTTTATTATCCTTATTAAGCTTCCTCATCTACATATTGATCCTGTTAGTCTGAGGAAGCTGATAAGCCATCTAGCTGTACTTGCAAAATACACAGAAAATGAGAAATCTGCCCTGGAGGCCATGAAGACTGAGATTCTCCAGTGATTTGGATCTCCATATGTCTGGACTGTATTTTTTTCCCCTTCGGTGCTAGGTTTTTGACTACATGACGGCATTGCCGTTCGCCAAATTAAGATTAATTCTGCTTTTATTGCAAATACTGTCATCAATAGCTTCTGAGAAGCTTTGCTCTAGTTTGACTTGTATTTTTATTTGGATGAATACGCTCCTTTTTCATAAAGCATAAGACTATTTCCAGAGGCAGCTGGCGTCACGTATGCTGTGAGTTTTTTTCCCCCCTTGTGTCAGTTTTCCGTGCTGGCTTTCCAGAGGGATTTATTCTTTGCTTTCGAAAACCTGCTTTCCTGTCTCCGTTGCCTACGGGACACGCATGAAACCAAGTATAACCGTAGGTGCGCGTGAAGGACTTCGGGCCCAATCGCTGCCCCATTAACTCATTTGCTCTTGCTTCCGTTGCCATGGGCTTTTTCCTTAATGACCTACTTATCCCATATGGTAATATATGCTGGAGTACTGTACTCTGTTGGACCTTTAACTCCAGACCCCCCATTTTTTTGTTTGTTCTAGCTCTCAGCCAAGCCTAGTCCCTCTTACAACGTGGGGCTGTATAACCTCCACCTCAGCCTCTCCTGTGCTGAGTCCATTTTGGGTGCTTCTGTCTATTTACGTGTTGTTTATGTCACTGAAATGTTGGAAGACCCCTGTTTTGATCTTGTTCTCCGTGACCCCTCTGCACAGTCACTGCTTATTCTAACAAATTGTTGTTTTTTCTTTCATGATACTCTTCCCCCTCCCCATCTGGCTTTTCCTCCTCCTCCCACAATTTGACCTTGTCTTGCTCTTGTCTCCCCATGCCCTATTTTAGGCGTTTGCATGGCTTCAACTTCTATTATGTGCTGATGACTCACAGATGCATTCTACACCTCTGACGGTTTGTCACCCCGTCCAGCGGCTGACTTCCTCCTCGCTTTTTTCTCTTTGATTTCTCCATCAGTAGTCATTTAATATTTCAAGCCCCAAACCCCTGGTGGTGCTTCCTATGTTCTCTTTATCTTGCCTTTTAAATGCTGCCACCTGATAGGTAGCTTTGTCCCAAAGCCTTCGTGATTTTTTTTTTTAATTCGTTTGTTTTACTTCATGCGTTTGGATAACACGCAAATTCTGCGGAGTCTTTATTGTCAATATATTTCTCCTTTTCTAGCTCATCAGACAATAAGGTTTTACAGATGTGATACTTTACAGTGGCTGTCCTGAGAAATTCTACTGCTGAAGTCAGTTGATAGCGCTTGGTTTTAAAGATAGTGTTAAGTATTTTAGTTCCACTCTGAGAAGGCAGCTGCCCTTGTTTTGCTATTTTTTTATATTTAGCAGCCCAGATCTAGCTGTTATAAACAAGTGGGATTCATGGCATCCTAGCTGAATGAAATGGCAAAGGATACGTATACATCATAAATGTTAAGATACCTAATATAAAACTAGCTGTAAGTGAGCATAATTCATAAGCCCTTCAGCCTGGAGAAGGGTTGTCTGTTTTACTGAAAATTGCTAATCCTTTCCTTGTGCTCCTTTTAACTGTACTGTTACTCATAACAGCAAACCCAAGCTCGGAATGGGGAAGGTTTTTCTAATATGTTTATGTGACTGGAAAGGAATAGAGGCTTTTAAGGTGATAGAAACACTTTCAGACTGCTTAGTAGCAGTTGCTTTTACGCAGGTTCAAGAGGCACAAAGACAAACATCCTAGTGGGTGCAAGTATGTTTTTGCTTTTCCTTCTCTTTCAAATATTACAGATTTATCTAGCCTTGGTTTTCCTGGGTTGAATCACGGATTCCAGGTGACAGCGGTGGAGAAGCAGACTCGCTGCTCTAGCACACTTCCAAGGAAGAGGAGAGCGTGTCAGGGTACACCCACCGGCCGTCCAGAGGTTGTGCAAGGCTGTACGTGCTGTTGCTGTAGTAACAACATCGGATACTACCAGAACAATGTGTAGGAACGACTGTCCTCAGTAGGCTTACCATCTTGGAAACTCAGTATTTTCAGTTACCCTCTAGACCTGTGAATGTAAATAGGCCATTTGTGCAAATGCCATGTATTTTAATGTCCTCTTTCTGCACTTCTTAAAAGCACACACCACCTCATGTAAATAGTTTGAAGTCCCTGGTATACAGAAAGCTACAAAGGGTTTTTTAACACTGGGTTGTGCTCAGAAAACATGAATAATGGATGCCATCTTTCCTTTACGTTGTGTCGTAACAGGGAGATTTAAAGCGTTGCTTAATGTTGTGATGATTGAAATATTTGGAAGCAATACCTGGAAGCACCACTTGAGGATCTGGCCTATTTTTCAAGGAAATAATTTCAATATTCTCTCAGAGGTGAAGGTGGGAGGTGGGTGCTTGGATTGGAGGTGTAAAGAATTAGTGATTTATCCTTCAGATTTAAAGAATACAGTTAATGCAGACCAGCCTTAAATCTATGCCTCATGTTAGATTTAACACAGGAAACTTCCTTGCATGAAAGCAATGGCATCTCATTGATAGGGTTTATCTTCAGATGTTAGGTTTCTCCCATGTTTAAAATCGAGCGATTATTTCTTTTGAAATGTGATAAACATCTAAACTAAGATGTTTATATATTTAGAAATAATAAAAGTACTCTGAATGGCCATGCTTTCAAGAATGGTTCACATAAAGATAGTGAAAGAACAGAGTGACAGTGTAGCAAGGTGTATTTTTTTTATTTAGTTGATAATACTGTGTGTGTGAATCTCAGTGTATGCTCTGGGATTCTCATGCAATCCACATGTTGGTGAGATGACATTCTGCTGTGTCGTGGTTTAACCTCAGTCGGCAACTGAGCACCACCCAGCCGCTCACTTGCCCCCCCCCCCCCGGCGGGTAAAACCCATGGGTTGAGAGAAAGACAGTTTAATAGGACAGCAAAGGAAGAGAAAATAATAATAATAACAATGATAAAAGAATATCCAAATTAAGTGATGCACAATGCAATTGCCCCCCACCTGCCGACCGATGCCCAGCCTGTCCCTGAGCAGCGGCCCCCCCGGCCAGCTTTCCCCAGTTTCTGTACTGAGCACAACATCCCATGGTATGGAATGTCCCTTTGGCCAGTTTGGCTGTGCCCCCTCCCAGCTTCTTGTGCACCTCCAGCCTTCTCAGTCGGTAGAGCATGGGAAGCTGGAAAGTCCTTGACTAGTGTAAGCACTGCTCAGCAACAACTAAAACATCGGTGTGTTATCAATATTGTTCTCACCCTAAATCCAAAACACAGCACTGTACCAGCTACTAGGAAGGAAATTAACTCTGTCCCAGCCAAAACCAGGACGTGCTGATAACCTGTATCTCCTCAAGTAATCCTAGGTTGTCTGGTAGGTTTTATATGCATACAATGCAACTCGTGGGTTCTGTAGAAAGCTATCCAAGACTTTATTGGTACAATTCTTACAATAAAAACCCTTGTATAACTAGTACTTGTATCATGGTTTTGAAAACACATAACCGTGCTGGAATCAAGCCACACATAAACACTGCTGTAAGGGATACATCATTGTTTGCATGCACGG